GCAGGTAAGTGCTATTGTGGTTTAGTATGGTTCTTTTAGCGAACATTAGGCAGTGTAGGACCTGCTGAATATGGGGTACATTGGCGTTGTGGCAGGCTTATGCAATGTATGATCATATAATGTAACTAAATCCCCATACTTTTCATATATAGTGCATAGTTATGTCTCCTCTTGTTTTGCCTATTATATCTTGTCTTGTTTTATTTTGTAATCTAAGTTCATGTACAGTCCTGTCCTGCCCCGTTCTTGTTTTCCTCATGTCTTGTGTACATGTTCTGGGTTCTACTTTCTGTCCTGCTTTGGTTCTGGGTTCTATCAGTTCTTTCTTGTTTTCATGTTTGGTGACTATCCTAGCCTTGATTTGTTTCTGTACTGGATACATGTCTGCTGCAGAGCTCCCCTATCCAGTTCCTGGGAGGTCTGCACATCAAGATCCTAGTTCCTGGGATCCGCTAAGCTGCAACAGGGTCTTGGTTTGTGGCCGCACAAATGCTGGTGCTCAAACTGCACCGGGCCCTGTAATCCACTTCCACGCTGAAGACTCCCACTTCTTATCAGGAACTTAGGGGTCCCCGTTTCCTTAGTGCCACCTGTGAAATCATGCAAGGCAGCACCAGCCCCAAGATGAAGTTTTGTCCCATCATGGGCTGGAGGGGAGATTAAGCAGTGAGCATTCACCCTCCGTGCATGCCAAGCAGCTTCCTTCTCTCCCTCTCGCGAGCGCCGAGATTATCAGAGCCTTGCCATGGTAACCCGTGGTAACGCTCTGAAAAAACAGCGCTCGTGAGAGGGAGAGAGACATGGTCTGTACCCTGCCAGTACCCTGAATTTCCTGCCAGTTGGACCATTGGTGTGTGGCGTGGTCCCCCCCTCACTGGACCACCAGGTATCTGAATTCTCCCTCTCCCCCCTGCAAAGTTAATAGGGGGAGTAAATTGAATATTATTCTTTTTGTTTAATTATTAAATTAATAATTTAAGGCAATATACACTACACACACACACACACACACAAACAAACACACACAAACTGCACCCCTGCACTAACACACACTGCACTAACACACAAACATACTGCTCTCCTGCACTAACACACAAACACACACTGCACTAACACACAAACATACTGCTCCCCTTCACCAACATACAAACACACACTGCACTAACACACAAACATATTGCTCCCCTGCACTAACACACAAACACACAGCACCCCCTGCACTAACACACAAACACACTGCACACACTCTGTTCCCCTCTGTACACAATACAGCCCCCAGGCCCGGACTGGCCATCGGGCAAACCGGGTTAATGCCCGGTGGGCCGGGATGGCCTGGGCCGAGGTCGAGGAGATCCAGCTGGTCCATGCATAACCGGCGCTATCCGAGCACCAGCCCCGCTGTGTTCCATGAAGGGCCGGTGGGGAGATCAAAGATCTCCATCACGGCCCACATGCTGTCAAACGTGGCCGCTGGCAGGGAGAGAGGGAGGGAGACAGCCAGCCTGGAGAGGAGGACCCGGCGGAGCTCTAACTTGCAGCTCCGCCGGGTTTCTCTCGCGAGATCCGGACCGGTGCCACAGGCTAGAGTTCACTTACCACGAGGACCACCAGGGATGGATGTCAGCAGCACGACCCCCCTGCCCCCCTCCCCCCTTCCAGGCTACAGGTAAGCAGGGAAGGGGTGTATAATGTATTTCTTTTTATAATAAAAAATATTTAAAAAAATACATCAATATTGGCATTTACCTGCCTCCACCCAATACACAATCCTTGCAGACACACACATCACCCTCACCCAGCTGCCTAGCATACTTACACAGCACCCTAACTCACACAGCACCCTAACACTCACACAGCACCCTAACACACACATCACCCTCACTCACACAGAACCCTCACAGAGCACCCTAACACACACATCACCCTCGCACCTAATACACAGTGCCCACAGACACAGCGCCCACACACACAGCGCCCTCACACACAGCGCCCTCACACACATACTGCACTCCCCACACACAGCACCCTCCCACAAACACTATACTCCTCACAGATGCACACTACACCCCTCACACACACAGCAGTCCCCAAACACGCTGTACCACTCACACACACACTCACTAGATCTCCTATACGCACTCCTGAGTCCTTCAAACACACACTAGATCCCCTATACACAGACACAGATGCTGAGCCACCTACACACACACTACATTTCTGATTTAGACACTCTTGATCCCCTATGCACGCATAGTGTCTCCATAACTGGGATACAGTGAGCATCCCAATTATGGAAACCCCTGAGACAAGTTTCAAGCAAACATAACACAAGCATGTTGTAACAAAATGTGTAACAAAAACACCCCAGTTAACCAGTATAATGGCTGTACTATTTGCACTATCTGAATAGCAATACTGGTTCATTTGCATATTCGGGTAGATTTGCATATTGCTAATTCTGCAGGCGCGTGAGATACTTTCTGTTATAATAAGTCACTGTATGTTGCCTGCTATGATTTGACTGTTTGTAATTTTATTGAGTTTTCACAGCAAAGTTAAAGACCATATGGTCTAGTCCCAAGTAAAATAAAGTTTTAGACAGTTCTTCTTCACAAATGTAGCTGTGTCTCATTGTTGCAAGGGAATTTGCAGCTTAATCACTAGCTCTTTTCAGAGCTCTGCCTCTCTACTGCTCCAGGGATCCAGTGGATGGGATTTCACCTCTCTCCTACAGCCCAGCATCTTGCCCGGAGGAAGGACGTCGCCAACGGAAGATACCCCTCACTACCCTGGGTAGCCGTTACACATGTGATTAAATTTGCTTGCACTGTGCAGAACAAATACAGGGCCCTTTTCTCATACCCTGGAAGTGCATTGAACCAACATGCTCACTTTGAGATGGGGCGTGATTGTCATTGGGGATGACAAAACACACCCTATCTGGCCCCGCCCCCTTTTCAGTGGGCCGTTGTGAATAAAAAATGCCCGTGCCAAATTTTTTCCCCCGTGCGGCCCTGACAGCCCCTGCATTAACACACAACACACACTCTATACCCCTGGCACTCACATACATACACTAAACACACTCTATACCCCATAAACCTACACTACACTCCCTGCACTCGCATACATTATACCCCTATAAACACACACATTACACCTCCTGCATGCACACACACACATTAATTTATATCCCCTATAAATACATATTCTGCACCTCCTGTACACTACAACACCTATGTATACATTACTGCACCTATACACAGGTACCCTACAGCTCCTATATGCATACACACACTAGAGCCCCTAGATTCACTCACAAACACACAGTACAGCTCCTTACATGCACACACTCCACAGGCCCTATATAAATACACACACTCAAACACACATACTTTACAACCCAGAGACACACACACTACAGCCCCTAGCCACATGCAGTACACCACAAACAGACCTCTTTACACACACAATACAACACAAATAATCTGCTCTACACACATGCAACTTGCAAACATATACAACATCACAGGGAACATCCCCACACATGCACAACACTCTTCAACAGCCGTGTTCCTGTTTTGATCTCTGGTATCACACTATTGAGGACACCAGAGACAAATTACCAGAAAACGCAGCACATGCTTACGCTGCACAAACTCCCCACCACCCCCCCAAAAAACCCATGGCATTTACTTCATCCAAGAGCAGTGGATGCTCTGGAGGAGCTTCACATTAACATACTTATTTGCTGGGGGGAGGGAGTGTGCATGTCAATGGTGGTGACATGACATACCCCCTTTCTGGCCCCGCCCCTAACAGTGGGCTGCTCTGCCTGTAATTGCCCAGGCTGAAATTTTGTCCCAGTCTGGCCCTGTATAACACCCTGTAGTAGTTCTTAATTATAATATGTGTTTTTGGCAACATAGTGGGTTTGTTTTCATATCTCTGACTATATTTATGTCTATGTTTACATCTGTAAACATAGTGGTCCATGTTCAGGAGAACAATTGTATGTGTTTACATCCGTAAATAGTGGCAGGTATCTCTTTTGTGCGTGTTGTAAGAGGTCGTACATAGTAGAGAGGCATTTTCTCTTTAAAAAATAAGCCAGCTGTTGGTGTCCCAAGCACTCCACCAGACACCATAACCACCGAAAACCCAACATACCGCCGCAGTTTGGTTGGGGTCTCGCCGTCTTGCACCTACTCTGGACCCAAGACCAGGATCCAACTTCCCGTAGGTAGACATCTCTTAAATCTAGAGACCAGGAACAGGAACAAGCTCTTATACCGTGGGGAGTATACTGATTATAGTAATCCCCAGAGTGTAGTTCTCCAATCACCGAAACATGAGCCGAAACTTCATTAAGGTGCAAGATGATCTGTTCATTGAGCATGAAGGCATTTCTTTGATACACATTCAAGCCAGAGGCACACCCCGTGGACCTGATGGAACACAGGGACAAAAGGGACACAAACCAATGGGAACAATAATTAACACAGTAACACTCCCACATACACAGTAAAATCCCTTTCGTCTATCCTGGAAATAATTGGCTTAAGTGACCGTAGTAA